AGCTCCGATTTAGATCTGGCCCAAAGATCCCAGTCTGATTTAGGTCTGGCTGGAACTCGGATTTAACTCAGGCCCTAAGACCCAAGTCTGATTTAGGTATGACTGGGAACTCTAATTGCAAATTGAAACACGAGTATGGTTTGGTTTGGCCGAGCCGAAACCAATGTCGCGGCGTCGGCCCAGAAAGCTGTTGGGTCGGCCCTCGTGCGCATGCGTCTTCAAGAACAACAGGAGCAATGCGTTAGCCGAACGGCGGGTCATGGCTGGGGGCCCAGCCGCCAGCTGCCAAATACTGCAAGTTTGGCCCGCCCGCGCAAGCCGCCCAAGGCAGCGCTAAAGCTGGGGCCTGCGCGGGGGGCACGGGGCAGCGCCCCCCGCCTGCGCGGCCCTGCCCAAAATTGCTCAACTGCGGCTGGGGCGAACAAAAAGCCCGCGCGAGGCTCGCCCCGCAGGGCTGCCGGCTGCCGCGCCGCGAAAGGATGCACGGCGCGGTGACCGCCCCAATCCCCGCCGCCCGCCCGAGACAGATCGGGGGCGGGCAGCGCGGAGGATGATCGCCGCACTTTTCGAAAGGCTTGGGGGCGCGGAAGCGCCCTGGGCGGTTTCTGAAACGCATCGGGACATGGGCGGGGCCCGGACGGGAGGGGCTCGGAGGGTTTTCGAGAGCGGAGGTGGCCCGGGAAGGCGCTCGGCGAGGCGGGGGGGAACGGGGCGACCTGGGGGGGGTTGCTCAGAGGCAAAGACGGATGCTGAAAGCCTAGCAGGGCTTTGAGCGTGCATCGGGGTTTGGCCGGGGAGCTTTTCGGATGTTGCCGGAGGGTGCCGGAGCGTCGGGGCCGCGTCCGAATTCTTGGAAAAGGGCCCAAACGGCTGGCTCTGGAAGGGCACGACAGGCGTCGCGGAGCATTTTGGACCACGGCGGAAGCCCCTTCGGCCGCATCCGGGGGCGATTTTTACAGTCGGCACTGGCGGGGGGGCGAACGTGCGTCAAAATCGGCCCGCGTTGAAAGTGGGCTGGTTTTGCCTGGCATTCGCTGGGCACTTCCGCTCGCTCGACCACGTTCCCCCCCCTCCGTTTTTGCGCCGTCGGCGGGGGGGTCGCGCGTGATCGGATTAGCGGTGGCCCTTGCTTCGTGGCGTAGAGCGGCTGGGAACCGAGAGTCGCCGCAATGCCCGGCGCCGGCTCGGAGGCGCGGGGAGGGGCGTGGTTCGGAGGCGGCGCGAGGCCCCGGGAGATTCCCAAAACTCCGGCGGGGTACGAAGGGGCCGGGCGGGATTCCAGCGGGGCATAGGAGCTGCGGCTTGGGGGCCGCCCCCATGCCGGCGTGGGCGCCTCCGGGGGAACGCTGCGGACGGGGCTTTCGACGGGCCTTCAAGGGGACCTTCGGCGATCCTTCGGGCCGCGCCGGGGCTGTTTTGAGCCGTCTGGTGTGATGGCGCCGTCGACCGCGCGGCGCATTGGAAGGCTGCCTGGGCAGGCGCACGTGGGCAGCGGTCTCGGAAACGCCTCGGCGCTCCCCGGGGCCCTTGGGCGGCTTGCCTGGGCCATCTGGGGGGCCCGTCGGGCGGCCGACAACCTCGGTGCTGTTTCGGAAGAGTCTCGGGGCAATCCGGAGTTGGTTGGAAACCGTCGCTGGCCGTCTCGGGGCGACGGAGCGGGCGAGGGCGCGAAAACCGCCGAAGAACATGAGGAGCGCACGCGGCGCTGCTCAGCGGGATTCTCAGGCAAATCAAAGTGTTTGAAGGGGTGGGGTTGGGTCGTTTTGAAACGGCACCGGGGCTGCCTGGGGCCCCTGCGCGCGCGTTCGAAACGAAATTTTGGGCCCTCGCGGGGGGGCCGCGGCCGTTGTGGAGCCCATCTAGGGCAATCTGGGCATTCGGGCGCGAGGTGCGCGCCCGTCTACGGTTCGGCCTGCTGACTGGAAGGCCGCCCAGAATCCGTTGGAAGCGCCGCGCGGGCGGTATCTCCGCGAGCTCCTGGGGCGACGATCCTTTCGGCCATCAGCCCATCCCGCCGCTTACATCTATATATATATATAGATGTATAGATGTATAGATGTATATACACACGTATGTATGTATGTATGTATGTATGTATGTATGTATATATGTATATACGCGTATGTGCATATATAATATAATATATATATATATATATATATATATATAATATATATATACACATGTATGAACATAAATATGAAGCTCATTTTTGTTTTGAGGGGGGGCTTTGGGCGGGCATCCGAAGTTTGCTTCGGGGGTTGCGGCTCTCGGCGGCCTTTTGAAGGGCGCTCGGGTGATTGCTCTCAGTCTCGGGGCTCATCTTTGGGGGGAGGGCCCTCGGGCCCCTTCGAAATGCCCTTCGCAGCCCCGCCTCGGGGGCCGACCAGTTTTTCGCGGTGGCCGCCGGGGCAGTTCGGAACGACATCATGAGCTTCTTTTTTTTGGGGGGGAATTGCCCCGGGCGCTCCTCCAGAGGGCCCGCCGCGATGTTGCGCGAACTTTTGGGCCGGCTCTGGAGCCTTATAGACGGGGGGGGGCCCCGCCGACCCCTCCTCCTCCTGCTCCTCCACCTCCTCCTCCTCCTCCTCCTCCTCCTCCTCCTCCTCCTCCCCCCCATCCCCCCCCCCCTCTTCTGCGTGCTCCTTCTTCGGCCTCTGGCCCGAGATGAGGGCCCAGGATGGGCAGGGCGTCCGTCGGCGGCGCGCGCCTTCTTGCGGCGGCGACGCCCTGCGAAAGCAAGCAGGGGCTCGGACGCCCGAGCGGGGCGGGGGGGGTGCGCGGGGGGGGGCGGGGGGAGCGAGGAGGAGGAAGGATGGGGAGGAAAAATGCGGGAGGAGGGGGGGGGGGATGGGGGGGGGGGGGGGAGGAGGAGAGGGGCGTCGAGCGAAGAGATTGGCAAGGGCGGCGCCGAGGAGGGTGGAAAAGACGCAGATCAGCCGAGAACGAGGCGGAAGAGGAAAGGGGACATGATGGCGGGAGCGAGAACGGGCGCGAGGGCGGGAACCAGGTCGGAGGACAGAACAAGAGGGCCCAGAGATGGAGCGAAAAGCGAAGGAACGAGGGCGGGGGCGAGGGCCAGAACGAAGGCGGGGACAAGACGCAAGGGTAGGAACGATCGCGAGAGAGAAAGCGGGGGCGCGGGCGGGAACGGGGGCGGGGCCGGCGGCGGGGGCGACGGGCGAGAACGAGGGCGATAACGATAGCGAGAATGAGGGCGGAAACAAGGGCGGTAATGAAGGCGAGACTGAAGGCGGGGACGAGGGCGGAGACGAAGGCGGGAACGAGGGCGGGAACAACGGCGAGGGCGAGGACGGGAACAAGGGCGAGAACATAGGCGGGAGCGACGGCGGGAACGAGGGCGGAAGCGACAGCGGGCGCGAAGGCGAAAACGAGGGCGAGAGCGAAGGCGAGAACGAGGGCGGGAACGAGGGCGGGGACGAGGGCGAGAACGAGTGCGGGAACGAAGGCGGGCACGAAGGCGGGAACGAGGTGGGCGAGAACGAGGGCGGGAACGAGGGCGGGGACGAGGGCGGGAGCGAGGGCGGGAACGACGGGGGGAGCGAGGGCAGGAATGAGGGCGGGGGGGCGCCTCTGGCTCGAGGAACCTCCTGGGAACCTCCGGGGAACCTCCAGGGATCCTCCGGGGAACCTCTGGGGAACCTCCGGGGATCCCCCGGGGGGCCTCCGGGGAACCTCCGGAAGGTCTGTTCGAGGTTTGTTTGAGGTGTGTTTGAAGTCTGTTTAAGGTCTGTTTGAAGTATATTTGAAGTCTGTTTTGGGCCAAACTCTGATTAAGGTCTGTTTGAGGTATGTGCAAGGTCTGTTTGATGTATGTTTGAGGTCTGGCCGAACCTCTGAGGTTTGTTTGAGGTCTGGCCGAAACTCTGTTTCAAGTCTGATTTCCCCGGACGGCCCTTGGGTTTCCCAGGGGGGCCCCGGTCGGCCCCGGAACGAGGGCGAAAACGATGGCGAGAACGAGGGCGGAAACGAGGGCGAGAATGACGGCGCGAACGAGGGCGGGAACGAGGGCGAGAACAAGGGCGGGAACGAGGGCGGAAACGAAGGCGGGAACGAGGGCGAGAACGGGGGCGGGAGCGACAGCGGAAACGAGGGCGGGAACGAGGTCGGGAACAAGGGCGGGAACGAGGGCGGGAACGAGGGCGGGAACGAAAGCGGGAACGAGGGCGAGAACGAGGGCGGGAGCGACGGCGGGAACGAGGGCGGGGGCGACGGGCGAGAAGGTGGGCGAGAACGAAGGATGGAACTACGGCGGGGACGAGGGCGGGAACGAGGGCGGGGACGACGGCGAGTGCGAGGGCGGGGTCGAAGGCGGGAGCGAGGGCCGGAGCGATAAAGGAAGGTGGAAACATACGGGAGGGGAGAAGGGGAAGAAGGAAGGGAGGAAAGGGAAGGGGAGGTACGGTGGAGGATAAGGGAGGACTACAGGATTACATTCAAAGCGACGCCAGCTAGTTTCCCGCCTGCGCCCTGCGTGCCAGGGCCCACGGTCTGGCCACTGAGGCCAGCCTCCCAGGGCCCGAAACTAAAAGGGCACCTTCGAGACCGGACGTTTGCCCTCCAGGATGAGATCTAAGGCAGCCCTGGCACCTCTGGCCATCTTCGCAGGCTGCCTGCTGGCCCCTTTCAACAGTGGCTCGATCGAGTAGGAACCACAGTTCAAACAGAACACAAAAAGCCCTTTCGTTTGCATCCGATGCCCACGGGCCGTGAAACCGGCAAAATGGTCGCCCTCACTGGCCCCTGAGGCGGCCCCTTCCGCCGACGGCGCCCCAGGGTCCACAGGCGGCCCCGAACCATCGCACACAGCCGCAGCCGCCGCAAGCGCCACTCGGACCGCCTCAGGAGGACCCATCGGGGACGCTTCAGCGAACCTACCACCAGGAGAGAAGGCGAGGCGCGCCAAGGCCTTCTGCGCCTCGGATGGCTCGCACCTCCTGCCGCTGCCCTGGGTATACAGCTTGACAGACGCCTGGGTCCTAGCCTGGATTCCACACCTCCTGCGCACTCGACCGCTAGGACCCAGGGACCAAAATTCATGCTCCAAAAAACTCAACAGCCCGGCTTTGTTTGGGGGCGCCTGCTTTATGCCTTGATGCGCAGGCGCCAGGCTCAACTGACTGTTCACAGCCTCGCGGGCGCTGGCGAGCGGGGCCGTCGCCCACGCAAAGACCTCGCACTCCTTCTTAACCCGTCGCAGCTCCACGGCGAAGGCTTCAACGTGCGCGTCTGAAACAGCGCGCGACCGAGCCTCGACTTTAGCGAAGAAGTCAGCCCACGAATTGCCGATCTGCCACTCTGGGGGCCTGTCGGGGCGCATCGAACAAAATTCTTCAAGATCGAGGCGAGCCGGGACCCATTCAAAATGGGGAGGGCCCCGGGACCCAACACGCGCGAATATTTTCCTCCAGATCGACGCGTGGGTCCCTTGGGCCATAGCCAATCTGGGTGACCAACTGTGGCCGTCCCCCACAACTCCCAGCAAATCAGAAACCAACGCTCGCAGAAACGGAAATCGTCGAATTCCCTGCAGCAGAGCCCAGCGCTCGGCAGCACCAACGGTCTGCCTACGTCCAGGCAGTGGGCCATACACGGCCCTGATCGGTTGTCCGCCCCCCCCCCCCCCCCCCACCCCACCCCACCTGGATAACCGCCCATCCACGCCTCCGAAATTCAGGCCACGCGCTGTGAAGCCCCGACCCGTCCGCGCAGGCCCAGCTGGGCCACGTCTGAAGGTCCGTGGCCCAATCCCCCCAGACGAAAACGGGCAGGCTTCCAGAAACAGGCGGCAGAGGCTTGGGTCTGCGGGGCAACCCAGTGGAGAACTCCAAGGGGTCCTAACGCTCATGCCCAAAGCTATTCACAGCGCGCTCAGACAGCGCATTCCTAGTCTCCTCAAACTCCTCATCAAACTCAGGAAGACCTGCTGCCGCCGGCTGCTCAAGCAAGTTCGGGCATGCGTAGAAACCGTGGGCCACTGTTCCTGCCAGGCCCAGCATCAAACGCTGCGGGTGGGGGCACAGCGGAGACGCAAGGAGGCGCCGCTCAAACCTCTTGGATGCCGACATGAATCCGCCAGACCAGAGCAGTCGTAGCGCACCCGCCATCTGTGGTCGTCGTACCGCACACTTGGACCCACCAGCGGCCCATGGTAGAGCACGCATCCATCCCTCTTCACCTCCTTGCAAGTGTTCAGGTAGGTGCGAGAGGACATGCCTGGATTGCCAGCGAGAAACACCTTCCCGTAGTAGCTCGCGAAACTCAGCGGGACACATGTGTATCAATGAAATAACGTTGCCTTCATCACACACCACCATCGTAGTGCTCCTCATCTCCCATCCGATACGCCGTAAAAGGTAACCGGGTGGCCGCAAGCGGCCCTCTCACTCCCAGCCAGCCGCGCGATCCTGTGTCCCATTTGGCCTGCAAAGCTCTCCATGCCGACTCAAGCCGCCCGAGCTCGATCCGCTGGGGTCCCACAGGAAGCTGCAGTACATGTAGCAGACGGCCACCGTCGCCTCGTAGATCGGGTTGTAGAAACGAGCGCTCTGGGTCGACAGGTAGACCGTGTGACTGATGCCACCAGAAGATACTCCAGCCAGGGTGGCCGCTGTCTGTCTCAACTTCTTCAGATCAGAGTCGGGCGCGCCAGGCACAGATGCACCGTGCGCTGACGCGCTCAAGATTTCCATCACTTGTGCACCTGCCCGCCAGCATTCTTCAACAACGTCACCCGTGGCATCCGAGACTTCAACTTAGCGGTTCGTGCTTTCGCAACAGGCCTGTGCACACGCCCACCATGCATATAATGTCCAAGGTTCCTGATGCACTTCTTGTGCTTGATCTTCAACACCCCTGCCCAATGCTCAGAAGGCGATCCGCCCCGCCTTCGTGGTGGTCGTGCGCGAGGACTTGGTCGGCTGGACAATCAGCCCCAGCTCTATAGCCTCCATCACAAAGCGCCTGGTGGCAAGCGCCAACTCCCGAGCAGCACGAATCTCGTCACCAACCCATTGCAACGTGGCATCATCAACCAAAGCCCTCGGATGTATCGTAGGGTGCACCATCTTTACCCTCTGCAGAGTTCTCATCATCAACACAGTCAAAGGCGTAGTAGCGTGGGTACATCCTGGTAGAATACCCTGCCTCACCGTGGAGGATAAGGGGGGGGCCGGGAAGAGGGGGAGGAGGGAAGGTGGAGGATAAGCGAAGGGATAAGGGGCGGAGGAAGGAGACAAACTGAGGACGAGAGGGGGTGGGGGAAGAGGGGCGCGAACGGGGGAGGATGGAAAGGGGGGGAGAAGGAAACGGAGGAAGGAGGGAGGGGATGGACGAGGTAGGAAAAAGAGCGAAAACGAAGCAGGGTCAGATAAAACGAGACCACGACCCAGGGGCCGACAATACGAGACAACGAGAAAACAAACCAGTGCCCGAGAAAACGCAACCACGACCCAATGGCCGAGAAAACGAGACAACGTGAAAACGAACCAGGGCCCAAGAAAGCGAGAACACGACCCAAGGGCAGAGAAAACGAGAAAAACGAGAAAACGAACCAGGGCCCGAGAAAACGAAACAAAAACCCAGAAGCAAAAAAACGAGAAAACGAGACAATGAACCAGGGTCCGAGAAAACACGATAACGACCCAGGGGCCGAGAACATGAGAAAACGATAACACAAACCAAGGTCCGCACGAGCAAACGAGACCACGACCAAGGCAGAGAAAACGCAAATATCGGTCCTAAGAAACGAGACCACGACCCATGGGCCGAGAAAACGAGAAAACGATACAAGAAATCAGGGCCCGAGAAAACGAGGCAACGAGAAAACAAACCAGCGTCCGACAAAACACAACCACGACCCAGGGGCCGAGAAAACAAGAACACAAGAAAACTAACCAAGGTCCGAGAAAACTGGACCACGACCCAAACGCCGAGAAAACAAGAAATGAAAACATAAACCGGGGCCAGAGAAAACGAGACCACGTCCCAGGGGCAGAGAAAATGAAAAAAACGAACCAGGGTCACAACAAACTAGACCACGACGCAGGAACAGAGAAAACGAGAAAACGAGAAAACGAACCATGGCCCGAGAAAACCAAACCACAACCCAGGGGCCGAGAAAACTAGAAAACTAACTGGAAAAAGAAAACGAAACCACGACACAGGAGCCGCGGAAACAAGACAACGAGGAAACGAAACGGGGTCCGAGAAAACGAGACCACGACCAAGGGGCACAGAGAACGCGAAAACGATAAAACAAACCAGGGTCCGAGAAACTGGACCATGACACAGGGGCCGAGAAAACAAGAACATGAGAAAACGAACCAGGGCCAAGAAAACAAAAACACAACCCAGGGGACGATAAAACAAGAAAACAAGACAACGAATCAGAGTCAGAGAAAACGAGACCACGACCCAGGGGCCGAGAAAACGAGACAACAGGACAACGAACCAGGGGTCGAGAAAACGAAAAAAAAAAACAGGGGCCAAGAAAACGAGAAAACTAACAAGGGTCCGAGGAAAAATGGCACCACGACCCAGGGGCCGAGAAAACAAGCGCCGAGGCGCCGAGAAAACAACAAAAAAAAATCAGAGAAAACGAAGCAGAAAACTACGAACCAGAGGCCGAGAAAACGAGACCACGACCCAGGGGACGAGAACACCAGAAAACGAGAAAACAACACTAAGTCCGAGCAGACGAGACCACGACACAAGGGCACAGAAAAAGCGAAAACGAACTAGGGTTCGAGAAGGCACGACCACGACCCAAGGGCCGAAAAAACGAGAAAACGATAGAAGGAACCACGGCTCGAGAAAACGAGACTACGAACCAGGGGCCGAGGAAACAAGAAAACGAAAAAACGGACCGGAACAGAGAAAACGAGACCACGACCCAAAGGCAGAAAAAAAAACGAGAAAACGAGAAAACGAACCGGGCCCGAGAAAACGAAACCACGACCCAGGAGCCGAAGAAATGGAAAAACGCGAAAACGACCCACGACCAAGGGGCCGAAATCACAAAAAAACGCTTGGTTCGGGAAAACGAGGCCACGACCCAGAAGCCGAGAAAACAAAGAAACGAGAAAACGAAACATGGTCAGAGAAAACAAGGCCACCACCCGGGAGCCGAAAACACTAAAAAACGAGCCAGGGGCCCAGAATATGAGAAAACGATGAAAAAAATCAGGGCCCGAGAAGACGAGACTACGAACCAGGGGCCGAGAAAACAAGAAAGCAAAAAGACGAACCAGGAGTCGACGTTACCCCAATTCGTTCTCTAGCGCTGCGGTGCGCACCTGTCGTCAAGGATTCCGCAATTTTGCCAGAGCCCCGGACAAGAAGGGGGACGAGGTAGCTTCGGAACCCCCCACCTCCTTTGCACAGGAAACGGGGGTAGTTTAAAGCCGCCCCCCTCTGTGTCCAGACCAAAAAAGGAAGGAGCAGGGGGAGTTTCCGACCCCCCCCCATTGAAAGTGAAGCCCGGGCTCACCCTCTGCTCTGGGAAAAAGGGAGGGACGGGGGGATAGTTTCGAAGCCACCCCCCCCCTTTAGCCAGGGCCCCCCTAGCTCCTAGCTTAGAAACCCTTCAAAAGGGAGGGGGGGTAGCTTCGGAAGCTCCCCCCCACCTTTTTTCGAAGGAAGGGGGAGGGGTAGCTTGAAGCTGGGTCCCCCTTTCGAATGTTGAATTCCGTACGGGCGCGCTCTTACGAAACTCTGATTTGGCTCTGGCCTGAAACTCTGGTTCATCTCTCTGGTTTAGCTGAAGTTCTGAATTAGCTCTGGTTTGGAACTCTGATTTAACTCTGATTTAGCTTTAGTCGGGGACAGAACCGAGTCAGAGTTAAATCAAAGTTCAGACCAGGGTTAAAACAGAGTGTGGAAACAAAAAAATGGAAAAATAGTTCCTGGCCAGAGTTGATCAGAGTCGGATCCGGATATTATTCGAATCGAACTTAATGTTTGAACCTAGTTTGCCTCCAAAACGCACGCTCAAACAAAGGCCCCTGGAAGCGGACATGGGCAACTAAAACCTCACTCAGCGCCACGCGCGGCCTATAACATATTGCTCGTTCTCCTGCCAAAATGACGGACTCGATGCTGCGACCGCCTGGGGATCCCAACCGGCATGTGTTGCCAACGATGCAAACTCATCTGCCCATCTGCTGAACCGCCCCAACCGGGCGCGATTTGGGCATCCGGCTGTTCCCCTCGAGTGCTCGCTCTTCCCACCGCCTGTGGCCCCGCCATTGGGCCATTCGTCTGGCCCACCCGTTTGCTGGCATACCTATGATCTCCCCGCCCCATCTCCACCTTGCTTTCAAATGAGACGCACGCCAACACAACACCCCCGCTATTCGCGGTCTATCTTTGGCGACACGCGTCGCTCTCCGAATTATTCACACATGCCCTTCGCCCGGGCGCCTGGCAGGCCCAACCGTCCGTCTGAGCGCGCCCCGCAGAGCTGCAACCTTTTCGACTCAGAGCTGTTTTGTAATTCGATCTTCTGACAGGCTAGAAAACTACGCCAATCTGGACCGTAGTCTCGAACCGAACTCCATGGGGAAACTGCCGTCAATTGTGATTGCAGCACCTTATACTTTCAAACCAACGCTACAGTTCACCAGTGGATACCCACACCCTGCCATTATGATGTTCTTGGTTGGTGGCACAACTTTTCCAGAAGATGGCGCGCTGCATTTCCCAGCATTCGCGCGCATGCCAATTTTCGCAAGCTCGCTCCGAATGGGCGCCACCATGCGTGCAGAAGCCTGCCTGGATTTTGCCACCAACGTAGTGTCATCTGTAAACGCAGCGCAAGTCATGCGGTTGTTCTCGCGAGTCGCTGCCGACGATGCTTCCGCACCCTCTGCGTCCCCAAGTCTTCTTCAGCTGCACCGTCGCTTTCCTGACTGCGTTCGGCAATGGCGCTGGCGACGTTGGATCCCCCTGCCGGACGCCGCGGATAATATCCAAATCTGTGCTTCGCGCGTTCGTGTCTAGCTCGATGCACCCCCGCTGGCCACGATGCAAACCATCCAGTTGCCCATAAAAAGTGCTCGCTGGCGCCAGCTTCACGCAGACCTGCCGACGCAGCTGCGCGCATGGTCTTGTCTCATGCTGTTCCACATGTGTGGAAGCAATGCACCGTGTCTCCCCCATTCTGTACGATTCTCGCTAATCATGCACATGCAATGTTCTAGGCCATAGCATCCGTACCCCTTGCAAAACCCGACTTCCTCGGGCGTTCTGAGGCAGTCCAGGATGCGCCCCGTCCGTCTCAAGAGCGCGCCGCCGTAGTTTACCCAGCGCTGGGGCGAGCGCGACCTGCCCACGAATATTTGACAACGTGCTTTCGCCGATATTAAAACAGAATGAACAACGCTTCCCCGAGTGCGCCGCGATTCTAGGGCCCGAATCACGCCGTTCAACAGGCCGGCAAAGGCGCCCGCGATTATATATATATATTATATATATATATATATATATATATATATATATATATATATATATATATATATATATATATATACTCACGCGCGCCTCTCCGATGGGAGTAGAGCTCAGAGGCGATTAGTGCGCACGTCGTCCGCGATGTTTCTGGCCGCTTCGCTCGGGACATCCTCGAAATTCTGAAAATCGGTGGCACCCCTCACGCAGATCGCGGCGTCAGGGTCCGAAAGCACATGGGAATTTCAACATTTAAACATGAAACCTTCAAAAACACATGTCGACCCCGATTCTCAGAGAATGGCGGTTTCGCCTGAGACATCCGTTCAAAATCGAGCCCCAGACCCCTCCTCGGAGCCTCCTGGGGGCCTCCTGGAACCTCCTGGGGCTTCCTGGGGCTTTCTGGACCTTCTGGTACCCCAGACCCCGCCTCGGAGCCTCCTGGGGTTCTCCTGGGCCTGCTGAGGCCGCCTGGGGCCTCCTGGGGCTTCAGAGCTACACGCGCACGCAGAGACGCAAATCGCGCCCGACACATCGCACGCTAGACAAACTTAACATACACACAACACCGACAACACACAAAAAGCACGCACCACACAAAGCACACATCACACACACAACACTCACAATCCTGGGGCCTCCTGGAGCCTCTTCCGGCATCCAAGTCGGGCCGCCTGAGGCTTCCTGGGGGGCCCTGGTGCACGCGTCGCAAGGTGTGGCAACCCCGCTCGCGCTCGAGTGCGACTTCGCTGTTGCATGTCACTCCTGCTTCAAACGCCCCTTCAGCTTGTTGTATGAGCCTGGGCACACACGTGCCACTTGCATATATGTTTCTTTGCCCCCCCCCCCCCCCTTCCTTCCACGTCGCCCCCGCCCCCCCTTCAGCATTTCCGCCGCCAGGCCGTCCTCGGCGCAGGCTTTGTAACGCTTCTTTCGAGATATGAGCGAAAACGCACCATCCTTGAGTTCATCTGCCGACGCGAGCGCGCCCGGCCCGGCTGCCTGCGGCTCCTCCAGCGGGGCATAAATAAGGACTTTTGAAATAAAAGGAACATCTCTGCTATGCCACTTTTGGACTGCATTTGGCCACTGGCATCTCGAATGCTAGCGATGCGACATCCTTGCCCCGGCCGACGCTGGGGCCCGCGCAACTGTTTGGCCGCGCCTTCGATGATCTCCGGATGGCCTCGTTCAAGCTGAGCGCCTTCTCCTTCCTCTCGTCTTTGGTGGCGGCCTTGTTCCTCTATTCCCGCAGTTGCTTAATATTCTGATCCGCCCCCTCGTTCTTCCCCCGCCCACCTGGCGCCGCGCCGCACTCGGAAGCAGCTTGCAAAAAAAGCCCCCGCCACCGCTGCAGCGTCTTTTGGGCGCTCGCGCAGAGCCTTCGACTAAGCGAGATTGTGCGCCCCCTTGCTGGTCGTCCTTTTCCACCCTCTTCCCGCGCTTGCAAACCCCCCTTCGCCGTTTCTTTCTCCGTCGACCCCAAGCTTTGCAAATGTGGCCCTGCGGTCTGATCCCAGCATCACATCTGGAGTCGCGTCCGCATTCTGCAATCCTGCGTTGAAGCGCCGGTCCGCCCATAATTTGCACCCCCATATGTCCGCAGACCTCTTAGGGAGCATTGTGATTTGTAGTTGTGAATATGCAGGTGGGTGCCCGCGCTAAGAACTCACCCCCTCTGCTTGTCCTCTCGCCCAAGCCGAACTTGCAAATGCAGTCGCGGTCATCTTCTTCGTTCTGTCGGCCAGCCTCCGCATTGGCACCCGCGCCAATGACGCGCTGCCCGCGCGCCCTGTTCGCGGGCAGCGCCTGCCGCGCGTGTTCCAGCGTTAGCTCGCACCCCATGGCCCATGACTGAACGACACGCGCGCGGCAAGTAAGCTGAAATTGTTCTTGAACCCAAGTCTTTGCGCTAGGCCCCCGCGCGCAGCTCTTCCGTCTCCCACGACAACAAACAGCGCAGCGTGCACCCCATCTTCTGTTAATCAAAATGCCTATGATTTTATCCCCCCTCCCATCCCCCCCCCCCCCCCCCCCCTGAAATTTCGCCCATGCTGTCGCTGTGTTTTTGCGTGCCCTCGCGCGCCGACGCGACGTCCCAACGCATCTCCAAACTGTATGCGTTCACCAGAAAATCTGGAACATAATATTCGCGCATACTGGCAACGCCCCTACAAATATTCATCCAAACCGCGCGCTTGAATCCGGCATGCCCCGGAGGCTTCGGATATGCGTGCTCATCGCCAAAACTCCGCAACGATGCGATTGGAAAATCTTCTTCTGTACTTGCGTATTTCCCGCTCGCTCCCCACATACTAGTACCGGCACAATGCATATGAACTCCAGCGTGCCCATAACCTCCTCCAAGTACTGGTCACTCGCTCTCGGCGTCAGGTTCGGGTGATATTTGTTCCGCCATTCCTCCATGGATTCGCCGACTTATTTCTGCACCTTTGTACCCGTAGCTGTCAGTCATGTGCCGCCCCCCGCCTTCGTCATGCCAAGCCACCTTTCGCTCTGTGCCGGCCGCGTCTTTCACGATGGCGATGTTCTTGGGCCAAGTGAAATTGATCTCCTTGTCGTTGTATATCCCAACCCTTTTTCTCTTGCCCTTTCGTCCCGGATCAAACTATTCTTGAAAGAATGTCCCCGGAGATGCTTCCATGGCCCTCTGTATCCCGCGCTTGTTTGTAGAACTTAATATTGCCAGCTACCGTGGGCAACGTAATCATTCCGATGCTTGGTGGATCCGCAAGGGCTGTGATTGTCGCATTGCGCCCATCCCCCAGCAACTTGTTGAGCGTACCTTCCAAAACCTGTATGAGTTTTTTGGTTTCGGCACGCTCTTCAGAACCAACTGCTAAAACCTGTTTGGAACGTTCTCCGAACTCCTGTAATGAAAGCCACAAAATATAGGATTTCCCACCCAACGACTTCAAGGTGTCTTTGATATCCGTGATGTGTTTCTTCATGTAATGGCCCCTGTTCCTCAGCTCGCCCACGTCCTGCTATATATTCGTGACCGTCTGCGTTGCCATCTCCGCCGTTGCGGTGGCTTGTTGCGCAACCGAACGGGTTGGCGCCATATCAGTCTTCATACCCATGATAGCCTCGTACATTTCGTCGATGATATGATATTTGGTCATGCCTTTTGTCTTGACATTATGTTTGTTGCGCTGTGGAAAAGAAGCACTCCCAGCAGAAACCGGCCCCTTACCATCATTGGCCCCCCATCACTCACTAAGTGTAGCGCGCTGTCCGGGCTAACCCAACAAAGCAAGTGATCATGCAGTTCGAGATTTCAGTTAGAGGGTTGCTCACCAGCAGGCGGACAATGATCGTTTGTTTTGCTTCGATCATGCGTTGAGCCTTGACCACAAATTGCTACGGATTCGCTCACAGACGGGGTTCCCGCCCATACTTCCCCCATATTCAGGCCTCAGGAGCCCAAAACTGAAAACAGTTACACGGATGAGGATGACCCGCTCGGAAAACAAAAAAAATGCGGGCCCCATAGGGAGGGGGCTCCCTCCTGAGAGATCCTCACAGCTCGATCGCAGACGAGCCCCAAAGTGGCGACAGTCACGCGAATGAGGGCGACCCGCCCGGATTAAAAAACGTCAAACGCGGGCCCCATAGGGAAAAAACTTCCGCCTGAGACTTCCTCGCGGTTCACTCACAGAGGAGGCTCCCGCCTGATAGTTGTCCCATTTCCAAGCCTCAATAACCCAAGCTTGAAAACAGTTATACGGATGAAAATGGCCCGCTCGGAGTACAAATATGAAGTGTGTGCCCCACAGGGAGGGAACTCCCCCCTTGGATCCAGAGAAAATGATACTGAATTGTTAGAGAAAGTGTGTGTGTGTGTGTGTGTGTGTTGCGCGACTGGGTATAATGACGATGGCGGTGGTGGTGATGCTGATGATGAAGGTGATCGATGGTGAATGGCTGGGTATGGCGATGGTAGTGATGATGATGACCGATGGTGATGATGACCGATGACGAGGTGAATGTGTGAGTGAGGTGGCGAGTGGGAGGGGGGTTCCTGCGCGGAGGAGGTCCACAGAAAACAACAACCCCACTTTGGGTATGGGGATGGATTGGCGCCTGCGGCGGGCTCGTTGCATAGCTTGAAAGGTTTTGAGCACGCGGCGGGCTTCGTCAAAACCTATGCCGACGTCCCCGCAGCCCCCTCAGTCTTATCCGCAACTGCGGGGCGCTACGTACAACACTCCGCACTTACGGATAAGGGTCAAAACCGGGCGCGGGGGGGGTCACGGGTTGGTCCCGGGCGAGTCGCGGGTGGGTCACGGGGTGGGTCGCGTGTGCGTTGCGGGTTGTGTCGCGGGTTGGTCGCGGGTGGGTCGCGGGTGGGTCGCGCGTGGGTCGCGGGTGGGATGCGGAAGGATCGCGGGTGGGTCACGGGTGGGTCGCAGGCTGGGACGCGGGCGGGACGACGACAACACAAAAGCAAAAACAAACAATCGAACACAACAAACAAACAAACAAACAAACAAACAAACAATCATCACCATCAACAGCAACAACAACAGCAGCAACAGCCACAGCAGCAGCGACGGACGCCACACCAACAAGCACAGCAACAACACCACCAACAACAACAACAACACCAGCAACATGAACAACAGCACCAATCACAACAACAACCATGAACCAACAAGAACCAATAACGAACAAGACAACAACGACAACAACACCAACGACAACAACACCAACAATAACAACAGCAGCACCAACAACGACAACGACAACGACAACAACAACAGCAGCAGCAACAACAACAACAACCACAGCAACAACAACAACAACAACAACAACAACAGCACCAGAAACGGCAACCACAACAACAATCGGTTCAAGACTGTTCACTGCGATCCGCTCTCGTGTCTTGTCACGTGTGTCCCAAAACCCTCGGTGCCCGGCCCTTTCGTCTTCGATCGTACCCCCTTTGGGGATTATATCTTCCTTGGCTGCCACGGGTATTGCGAAGGGAGAACGATACGGATGGAGCATGAGATAATTTAGCAGGAGGAGGGCTGGGAGCAGAAAGCCCGTGGTAGAACCAGACGCGCAGATCGGGCGGGCAGACCCTGGCTAGCGGGCGGGCCGGGAAGGCGGGCCCATGCGGTGTCATAATAAATTGCGAGGACCCCGCGCGGGTCCGCGATTCCTGCATCCATTGTGAGGACATCCCGCGCGAGAGCGCGATTGCGGATGAACTTGTCCAGGAAATATCTAGCGGAAGCCGTTGATGTTGCAGCCGGGGGGCTAAGGTCACAGTTTGAGCATGAAGACTTTCCCTGGTAAAAGGCACGGTGCGAGCCCCGACGGGGGACTTCAATTGAAAAATGCAGCGTGCACCGGTGGGGGGGATCAACAATAACCACTCTTCAAGAATAGGACTGCGCTGCCAACACCAACACCAAAGTCAACATTACTATCACCAACGCCGCCACGAACAAAAACAATCAATTCAAAATTGTTCGCCTAACACTTCGGTTTGGTGGTACCCAGCTTTTTCTCTCGGGAGCGGCCAAGAGAGGGGCGTTTAAAATGGTGCAAGTCATGACCGGCGGCACGTGCGCGGCCCAGCGGGGGGGCCAGGGACGTAATGAAATAAGAAGAGGCGCCATGAAACCTGGGGAGATATCGTGGCCGCCCCCATGATATCCACCCCCCCCTAATCAACACCCCCCTCTCTTCCGCCCCCGATTCTCTTATGAGAAAAACAGTGTGCGAGCCCTGGGAGAAGCACGTCGATTGAACAAATATTACGGATACTGGGGAGGGAGGATTGAGAGCACTGAATCTTTATTCGTGAAAATTCAATAATTTCAACACTGTGCCTTTTCGTCGGCTCGCGTGCCCTTCAACACGTAAGTTGCAGACCCTCTATACCCGCCCCCATCGTCTTCGATCGTACCACCTTAGGGGTGTATATTTCTTACCCGCAGCGTGTTTCCGTGCAGCCCGTAAGGCAGGGGAAGAGGCGACGGATGGAAGGAAGGGACAGGGGAAAAAGGAGGATGGAACACGAGAGACAGTAGCATGAGAAGGGGAACACAGAACACGTGGCAGAACCCGACGGGCAAATCGGGCGGGCAGACCCTACCGGGCGGGTCGGGAAGTCGGGCCTACGCGACCAGGTCGAGCAGGCGGGTGGCTGAAGCGTGTGTCCTACATGAATCTCGAGGAGATCTCGGGCGACAGCGCGATTCCCAAATGAATCGTGACGAAATCCGCAGCGAGAGCGTGCTTCCTGAGTGTCGAAGGCGCGCATCTGAACAACTTGCGAGGAAGTCTCGCGCGGGAGCGCGATGTGGGCATACACCGTGAGGAAATATCAGGCGGGAGCCGTTGTTGTTGTTGCTGCTGTTGTATAGCTCGGGGCCCCGCATCCCGGTTGTGTGGCACCCAACTTTCCCATATGTTTGTTCTACATATAGCAATACATATATATATATATATATATATATATATATATATATATACATATACATATATAATTGTACATATAAATTGTGCGAACCCCGGGAAAACACTTTGATTTTACAAAAAATACTGCTACTGCGGATGAGAGAATAAGAACACGTGCTCTTTAGAAGATAAAGCTCTAACATTTCAAAACTGTTCCCTCTCATCTGCTCGCGTGCCTTTCAACACGTAAGTTCAAAACCCTCCATACCGGCCCCCATCGTCTTCGACCGTGCCACCTTAGGGGTGTATCTTTCTTACCCGCAGCGCGTATTCCGTGCAGCCCGTAAGGCAGGATGGACGGGAAGGACAAGGGGGAGAAGAAGGATGGAGCACGAGAGACAGTAGCACGAGAGGGGGCTAGGAACACAGAACACGTGGCAGAACCAGACTGGCAGATCGGGCGGGCAGACCCTATCGGGCGGGTCGGGAAGACAGGCCCACGCGACCAGGTCGAGTAGGCGGGCTGCTGAAGCGTGTGTCCTACAGGAATCGCGAGGAAGTCTCCAGCGACAGCGCGATTCCCAAATGAATCGTGCGGAAATCCACAGCGGGAGCGCGCTTCCTGACAAATGGAAGGCGCGACATCTGAACAAATTGCGAAGAAGTCTCACGCGAGAGCGCGATTCCTGATACATTGTGAGGAAGTTCCGCGCGAAGGCGCGATTTGGGTATACAGTGTGAGGAAGTATCAGGCGGGAGCCGTTACTGTAGCGGCCCAACAATCTGGTTTGGTGCCACCCATCTCTCCCTTGTAAAAAACGGCATGCGAGCCCCCGGATAAACACTTTCATTGACCAAAATGTTATGGTTACCGGGGAGGGGGGATCAAGAATAATTACTATGTTGAACCGATTTGAACACTAAGCACAACAATCCGCATCCTGGAAGCCAACTTCAATCACGCACACAGGGACTGTGAATGACCGCTCGGCCCCCTCACTCTGATGCATCTATATCTATAGATGTGTCTGACCCACCGTACATACAAATATGTGTTCATATATATATATATATGTACATACATAGACACCCTCCGACGAATCCTGCATGTAACCTCAAGAAGGGCGGCGGTGTATAGAGTTGCTGGCTCTCAGCGGTGATTCGCACACCGCCACCCTCCCCTGAGACCCACAAACAAGCCACTGGATGGCGCCTGTGTGCTTATCTGAGTGTGTGTGGCGGAATCGAATATTTGGTGTATTTGGGTGGTGCCGACCTCGCGCCGACGTTAGAAGAAGAACAAAACTCCATAAACATAAAACGTTGGCGCTCCACGTGTCTTTCTTGGATCCGCGCTCGACCCCCCTCCCTGGCGCGCGGAGCGCGCCAGGGGCGGCGCCGGAGGCGCCGCCGGCGGGCCCAGGCGCGGATCCAAGAAATCCGCGCAGAGCGCCAAAAGTTTATGTTTATGGCGATTTTTCTTCTTCGAGACGTGGTCTTCGGTTCGTGCAGCGTCGGCGCGCGCAAAAGTCGCTCGACCTTCAATCGACCGCGGCCCCGAACGTTCCGGGTCGAACTCCGGCGGGTCCAGCGGCGTCACCGTGTCCGTCGCTGCTTCCGCGTCGCACAACTCAACCCTGAACGCCGTCGCTGGCGCCGCTGGCGCGCCATCGCCGCACGAACCTACCGTATTTGGGGGGTGCCGACCTCGGGGCCGACGTGGTCGACTCTTGAATGTTGAAGGGGCCGAGGACACATAAATAAGAACACACAAATCCCAGGATTCCCGACATGTTCCAATATTTTGAGGGTGTTCGTCTTCCCCCCCCACTTCCCATATTTCCCCACATTTTCCTGGGAGTCGACGATCAATTGCGTCTGTGTGTCATTTCCCCTCCTGAAATGCAAGTGTATTTTGAGCAGGGACCGACCGTCCCGGCATTCCTATAGTCCTACCACGAAATGGTCTCAGAACCCAGAAATGTTCAAATAACAAAAACGATGTTCCTAGAACATAAGCCCGATGTGTTCAAACAAGACAGACCCCGCCAGAACTGTTCTAAGAACATCTGGTGAACACCACACACGGTTAGTAGCACATTGTCTGGTGGGGCTACAGGCGACCTCCTCCTCCTCCTCCTCCTCCTCCTCCTCCTCCTACTCCTCCTGCTCCTCTCTGCCTCCTCCCTCCTGCCCCCTGCTTAGGGAATCGCGTGGTGCCGACCTCGGGCCGACGTGGTCGATGGGCGGCTGTGGCAGCGCCACCGGCGACCGCACCGGACAGAGGCGCGGCTGCCCGCGGGCCAGCGCCAGCGCCGGCGCCGCGCAGCACGGCTCGTGCCGCTCGCCGGCCGGCGGCACCTCGGCAGCCATCGCCCTCGAGCCCCGACCGGCATCGCCCTCGCGAAGGGGAACGACGGGGGTCGTCGTTGTCGTCGTCGTCGTCGTCGTCTCCTCCCTACTCCATCCTTCCTCCTCCCTCCTCCCTCGTCTCTCCAAACCCCAAAGGGGGTCCAGCTGAAAGGGGATGGTGCAATAGATCTCGGGCAATTGTCTTGCAAGGGTACTGCGCTGGAGAATTGTGTTGCATTGTATGGCAAGTAATGTGTTGCACACCAGGTCCCAACAATACATTTGCGCCCTGGAGTGTATTGCACGCCCCAAATGTATTGCAACCCTACGAATCGGTTACACTAAATCTATTGCACCACCCCCTTGTCGCCCCCTGTTGGGTCACCCCTTGCCACCAGCGCGAACCTCGAACCTAGCAGGTTCTTGGCTAGCTTGAAGATCGGCAGCTTTCCAGCCTAGGGATGTCTTCAGCGGCTGCGCCTCACTAAGAGCGCTCCTGGGGCGCCCAGATCGTCCCGAACGGCCGCCAGAGGCTCGAGTTATGACCCGAACCGTACAAAGGGAACGGCCCATGGGAGGGGACATCGACCTGGAATCGGCGATACATCGCCGATGCATCTTGGGCCCTGGGATCTGGGCGCTGCTAAATGACTTCACGCAAGGCATTTTCGTGCGTTTTCGGGCCCCCGGACCATCACATATCGATCCAGCTCGACAAATGAAAAAGAAAGACGAGGTGTAGGGTTCCGGTCGCGATGTACCACGATGTTGCCACTTTGTTCGCAACGATGCGTCCCCCCCTGGGCCTGCCTGGGGAGGCTTCGGGTTGCGCGCAGACATGAAGGGACCCTGGGACACACAAATCAATACACACAAGTAACAAGATTCTCTGTATTTTCCAATATTTTCTAAGTTTTTGTCTTCCCCCCGACTTCCCATATTTTCCTACATTTTCTGGGGAATCGACGATTAATTGTGTCTGTGTGTTGTTGTCCCTCCTGAAGACAGACCCCCCAGGTAGTCCTGGCCATCCCCAACAGACCCCCGAGTCGCCCAGCCTGGCCTCGACAAAGCCCCCGAGTAGCCCCTGGCGGTCTCGGCACCCGAACCCTGGGACGCGGAGCGCCCCGCGGGCGCCGCCGGAGGGGGCGCCAGGGTGCTGTGACCCGCCGCCCTGGGCTGCTCGGGGGCCTGCTGAGGCTTGCCGGGGCTACCTGCGGGTGCTGTCCGTGCGCAACCCGAAGCGCCCTGCCACGACTGCCCCCGCCCTGTCGCGTTGCCCCCGGCCTCGCCAGTCCCGAGGTCGGGTTCGCGCGCCGGCGATGCCCCCGCCAGCTGCTGAAAACCTTCGGCGTCGGGTGCATCCGTGCAGGCCTCCCGCGGCAGCGCCTCGCAGGCCTCCCGGATCCCTACCAGGAGCTCGGGGGCATCTCTGGCGCCGTCGAGGCAAATCAGGAACAGCTCCACGGGGGTCGTGTGCGCATTTCCTTCCTTCTAGGAGACAACTTCTGAGAGATCTTCGTGAGAACGATTACGGGAATCAAGCCTGATTACGGGGCCATGGAGCCAGATTCGGCTAGATTGAACCCAAGATCCAGCCCGAATAAGCCAACTTGAACGTGGTTAGGCGGAATCAAACAGGATTATGCCAGATCAGGCCGGCTTTGCGACCACGATGTTTGAGCACCGATGCTGAATTCAACCTCGCAGGAGTTGCATCCGAACTCCTTGCGCAGAGACACGTGGATGGAAGCAGCGGGGCGCAACGCGCACTCGCCCGAGTCCAGATTTTCGGCTGCCGAATCTTCCGATTGTAGTCCCGCTGTCGCAGAGATGAAGTCCTGGAAGCGCTGCTGATCGGACTCTACAACGTACTGAAAGAAACTCTGTCCATGAAGAGTGCTCTTCATGTCTCTTGCCCCATCATCTGCGCCCAGCAGATTCACCAGATGTGGGGAATGGGCGAGTATGTTACATCGTGGGCAGATGTGCAGGTGGGCGTCGCAGAAAACACCGAGCAACCTCTGAACTGCACGATACGACCTGGACTCTCGGGAAGCCTTGAGGATGTCCCTCTCGCAAAATTCCTGAACTGCTGCGGCACTGCAGACAAGTGCACAAAGAACTAATTCGAGAATGACGTGCTGGACAAAAGCGGTCGTGGCATCTTGTCCGTCGATGCCTAGCTGCTCGCGCCGCTCCCAGACAGAGCGGCACAACACCGCAGAAAGAATCAAGTTCCATCTGATCGACGTGCGGCAGTCAGGTGCCAGCATCGCAAAAAGCACTCGCACCGCGGCCCGAAACCCGCTGTATACGAGGAACCCCGGAGTGTCTGTAAGATACGATCGCACCGCAATGCCCAGCATGAACACCTTGAATATGAGCCCTGCGACAAAGGGGGATAAGCCATGCAGATCGTTGGAATACTTCCAGCACAACGTTGCACAGTGACGCCCGCAGAGGAACACCACCCTGGAAACAAGTTCCCAGTTCGAAGAACCTCCACAGCATGCATGCATGCAAATCAGCAGCGGCGATATTGTGTTCGACAAAGGTATCAGAGCCGTTTCTATCACACTCTGCACTCGCGCCATCCTTATCTTGATAAACTCACCACGTAGATTGTCTCTCTTGGAGGACGTGCTATGACCAGGCGGTGAGAACATCGATTTGAAGCTTGCCTTCCAGGCGTAAAGCCACGCTACAACACTTCTCCAAGAAAACCAAGCATCAACAACACAGAAACAAACGCTGAAAAAGATGCACATACGAACGATGATAGTGGCATAGTGCTCTTGCTGCGCCGGCTCAAGGAGGGGCGACGAGAACATACCACCTCAAAAGCCAACACTGGCTCACCTGGAGGCTCTGAACTGCTGTCAGCGTCAACCAAGCCCGGTCGCGCTCCACGGGTCGTCTGACCAACTGGGGCCGTCGAACCCACGTTTCCAATGGCTGTGCCACAATCGCTTGAATCCAAAATGACACGGATCTCGTCCTCTACCCTTATGTTGCTCCCATCGCACTTACGGACCACATCCCAGAAATAATTTCGAGCACCTGGAAAAGTGTCGAAAGAGTGTCGAAACAGTGACGGGCGAGTTTCTCCCAAGGCCCGACTTGTGGGAAACCCTTGAGTTCCGGTATTTCGCTGGTGCTCGAAATCCTTTCTGGTGCAAAGCTAGAGCAGGTTGGAACATAAATCGACCCCCTCTTCCTGTTCGTCCTCCTGGACCTCTGGGGCGAAGTGGCACACGAGGCAGATGGGCAGATCAACACATAGCCCAACGAACCATGCTTGCGCCTCGCCCGCTTCCGAGCATCAGCCCACAGAAGCTCCGACCGTGCTGACAGCGAGTGCTGGGCTTAGGTCGGGCGTGTCCCCCCACAGGCCAATTTTCGACGACATTTTTAAAGTGAACAAAGATACCCACTCCAAATGCTGAGAAATTGTCAGAAAATCGTTCCCAGACTATTAATGCCAGGCCGCCCCTCTTCATCGAAGACCCGGGGGTGAAACTCGCTGGCCCAGCGGGCCGGCGGCTCGCCATGCCTGCGATGGGCCTATTTCCCACCACCACCACACCCACAAGTTAGAGGGGGGAAGGAGGAGGACAACGAGGAGGAGGAGGAGGAGGACGAAGAGGAGGAGGAGGAGGTCGAGGAGGACCCCCCCTCCAACTTATGGTGGTGGTGGAAAACAGGCCCATCATACCTGTTCTTGAAGAGGCGCGGGATCGTGGGCCCGCTTGCTGCGCGAGGCCGCGCAGGGGCCAGCATCCTGCTTTCGGGGGGGGCGCCCCTGCTGCCTGATCGGCGCAGCATTTGTGCATGCTCTTGAGGTCTTCCAGGGTCTCGTGAGATCGTTCAAAGTCTCTTTGAACAACCTCGGGGTACCAAAGGGGCTCGTCTGGGGATGCCAGCGCTAAAATGGGGCGGTCTGGGAGCATTCTCGACGACGTGGGACCATAGACGCATTGGGCCACCCTGGGGCTTGTTGGGGACCTCCAGGGCCCTCTCGGAAATCTCTGGGGCCCATTTTGAATCCACATGCAGCTAATGCGTGGGGAGCACTCAAACATCCACCAGCGTCGGAGTCGTCTCGGGACTTCTCATCACTTGGCATTCTCCCCCAGTTGCTCTCATGTTCGGGAAGAGTCCCTCCCTCGAGCAAACTGCGAGCAAAACATGGCTCTGGCATCTGTCTGGGAGAGCCCCAGGTCGCCAGCTGCTCTGGCCTTCGGGCTACAGTTTGGACCCCATTGGGTCTATCTCGCTCTCTATCTCTCTCTCTCTCTCTCTTTCTCGCTCTCTGCCTCCCCCTCTCCCTCCCCCTCCCCCTACCCCTTCCCTCCCCACTTTTCCCCTCCTCCTCCTCCTCCTCATCATCATCATCCTTCTCCTCCTCCCTCCTCCTCCTCCTCCTCCTTCTCCTCCTCGTCCCCCTCCCCCTCCCCCTCCCCCTCCCCCTCCCCCCTCTCCTCGTCCTCCTCCTCCTCCTCCTCTTCCTCCTGCTCCTTTTCCTTTTCCTCCTCCTCCTCCTCCTCCTTTTTCTTATGAATCGCTTCTCCCTGTCGCACCCCGATGCAAGTTTTTAGGGCGGGCCAGGCGTTTCGCCGGAGATTTCCTCATCATTTATAACCCTGGAGCTAAACAAATGGCAACAACTTCACGGATTGACGTTTGCGGTTCCTTTTCAGAATGTGGCTCTCGCCTTAGCGCCGCGCACAGTCGTTTTAAACAGTTGCAAGGGTTTCACGGATTGACGGCGGTTCCTTTTCAACATGTGGCTTTCACTTTAGCGCCGCGCACATTCGTTTTAAACATTTGCAAGGGTGCCACGGATTGACGGCGGGTTATTTTCAAACTGTGGCTCTCGCATTAGCGCCGCGCACATTTTTAAAAACCATTTGCAAGGGGTTCGCGGATTGACGGCGGGTTATTTTCAGGATGTGGCTCTTGCCGTAACGCCGCGCACATTCGTTCTAAACAATTGCAAGGGTTTCACGGATTGAGGGCGGGTGGTGTTCAGAACGTGGCTCTCGCCTTAACGCCTCGCACATTCGTTGTGACAAATTGCATGAGTTTCACGGGTTGACGGCGGCTCGTTTTCAACATGTGGCTCTCGCCTTAGCGCCGCGCCGCGAACATTTTTTTAACCATTGCAAGAGTTTCACGGGTTGAGAGGCGGTTCCTTTTCCACTTGTGGCTATCGCCTTAGCACCGCGCACATGTTTGTCTGACATGCAAGAGTTTCACGGATTCCCATGATCGACGTACCAGGAATAATGTTTTGAAAGGATTTGCGATTTTGAGGGCGCAAGAATTACGATGATTCGCGGAGCTGGGGTCCCAGGAATGGCGTTGTGCCATGATTCATGATCGTCAAGATGCAGCAATCAGGCTCATCCGTGGCGATGGAATACCGAGAATGATGTTTTGGCATGCTTCAGGGTCTTCAAACGGATGTCTTCTAACGGGGCAAGCCCCTAAATGGAAATGAAACGTTGTACGGGCCTATGACAAGTGAGCGTGGGGGGAAAGGTCATTCCAACATCGTTGGTGACTCTTGGGTTTACACTGGTCCTCCTCCTCTCCTCCTCCTCCTCCTCCTCCTCCTCCTCCTCCTCCTCCTCATCCCTCCTCCTCCTCCCTCCTACTTAGGGCCAGCCGGGCCTTACTTAGGGCCAACTGGCCCTAAGTAAGGCCCAGCTGGCCCAACTGGGCCTTACTGAGGGCCCAACTGGCTACTTACTTACCGGCTCACGCTGGGCCACGTCAATATGGAGGGGTCAGGGGAGTCGGCGCTGACTACGCGGCGCTCGAACTTCGTGCTTTTCAACAGTTAGCTGTGCAGCGCCACCTCTCCACGCTTTTCTTGCCGTTGGACGCGACCCAAGCATTTTACAAGTCTTTGAGAGAGCTCGTATTTTGCACGGCCAACTCACAGCCGGCCGAAGCTATTCAACACATACTTACTTTGGCTGGTTTGCCACAGTCGGTTTCAGAGGAGCTAGTACAGTATGTAGTCACTGAAGGTCCCCTGTTTGACGCTATAAGTATCCCCCCCCCGTCTCCATGCTATGGTTACCGACGCTTATCACAAATCTTGGTTTGTGGTTCCTGGCTGTACTTCCATTGCTTTCCCCAACATTGGTTCGGGACCAGGTCAGCAACTAGGAAACCTAATCTTCAATTTCGTCATGGAATCGGTCATGCAGCTGGTTCAGAGCCGTCTGTTGGAATTGGGTCTTGAACTCAGATTTCCCGTTCACGATGCTGGTTTTATAGATGTAGGTTCAGGCAGCACAGGCTCCTCATACATACAATGATTACTCTATGGACATGTTTTTTTCGATGACTCCTTATTTATGTTCATGGGCAGTGCCAAGACACTACTAAGCATCGCGCCATATTTAGTGGGCATCATTTTTGACTCGTTTGCTGAGCGCGGCATGCGACTTCACAGCGGGCGAGGCAAATCAGCAGCACTGTTTCAATTTAGAGGCCCAGGCGCGATCAACGCTAAATGGGCACTGTGGAAGCATGCAGATGGTATCCTACATATCAGCTCCAGTGCATATGGCCAGTTTCAGTTACATGCGGTACGCCAATATATACACTTGAGCACAGTTCTTGACGAAGGCAATCGCATTCTACCGGAACTTGCGCACAGGTATCACAGCTGCGCGGGATCTTGGAAGACGCTCCGTAAGGTCCTCAGAGAGCCCCTACTTTCCACCCACATGGCTGTGGTATTGGTCGACTCCCTTATTCTCTCTGGCAGGTTATACAAATCCAGCACATGGCCAACTTTGTCTACAGCACAGGTTGCCAGCCCCGGCGACGACATCACGCACATGTACCGTGCAGTACGTAAACAGCCCAGGAAGGACAACACAGCACTACACAACTCATATATCCGCGCTCAGGTTCTCAAAGCTGACATCAGCACATACATCAGGTCTCACCGTCTGAGGCTATTCGGGAGGCTCGTCAACAACAGACCCTCGCACCTCATTGGGCTCTTGGGCGTCTTACATAGGGAGGTCACGGACTCTTGGGTCTCTCTCATTATCTCAGATTTACTTTGGATTCGAGAATACACACGCGCAGTGCACGATCTCCCAGATCCGAGGCACGATTTGCAGGCATGGGAACGCTTTGCTCGACGTTCCAAGAAGTATTGGAAGTCCGTAGTGACAGATGCTGTACGCAAGAGTGCAGCTTACCTGGCCAGAGCTGCCAAGGCTGTAAAGCCGAAGCATACATCTTTGACATACTTTACGAAGCAGGTGTTCCGTACCCAGTCAATGATCCCCAGCACCCCCCCCGAGCTCAAGAAAAAGAACAAGACCATAAACATACTTGTATGTGGCGCGGTACGCAGTTTACTCACGTTCGGGGATTTCGACAGCACATCGCTAGAATTCATCGTTCGTTCGCGCACACTATCCGTTCCGTATTGGGGGACACTACTACCTGGGAGTATTGTAATATGCAGTTCGCCAGTCGCAACGCGCTGACCGAACACCTTGTCAAGGACGCCCCCAAGTGCGCAGTCTCGCTTTTGGCCAACGGTCAGGACTGCAGTGGAGACACAGATGCTGCCAGGCGCAAGCAGGACTTGATTTTTGCTCTCAACGAGGAGGCAACCAACAAGGCAGCCAACAACAGAGCTCAGGGACTGGGCCGGTGGAGGCCCGCATATCCAGCACGAAAATGTACCCCGACTTTGAGCAAGACGTCATAGCTATGCTATCAGACGCCGAAGCTAGAGCAGTCTTAGTAGAAGCCGATTATGTTTTTTCCTGAGGAGGCTGCGGCCCAGTTTGTGAGCCTTGGTTCCTCCCAGTCTAGGGCCCAGGTGGGTCCGACTCTTTTGGAGGACCGACTTTGGCCCTTTTGGCCCCAAGATTACCTAAAAGAAGCCGCCCAGCCCATCCCCTACCGCATCCGTCGGTCGGAGATGTTTGTTTTAAACGT